GGCAGAAATCTGCTGCCCAACTTCAAAATGATGGTTGGGGTAGTGTTGTTCTCATTAAAAGAAATTTAGAAAAACATACAGCAGTGTCAAAAGCACCTTCGCTGCACCTCCACTAATTTACTTTCCAACTAAGACAGTTGCACACCATAATACAACTTCACCTATTTTAAATGTTACACAAATCTATCTTTATGATTTGTCCTTATTAAAGGAAAACTATAGGCATTCAGACCACTTCAGCTCTTGTTTAATTCCTAGTCTAGTATCACTTGAAATGGATACTGCGGGTACCTGTATATTTGAAGCCATGGTGAAATAATGTAAATTGCTTGTTTAAATTTGCCAAGCTTCTCTAAAACAAAAATTTTTAATCCTTATCTGACTTTTTACTTTCTATTAAACTACTAGCAAATTTTGTCAAATGTCACTCGATTTAATTTTAATTTCCCTGATACCCAATGCCTCTGCTAGTCTTTCATTCATGTAAATGCTGTATTCTAGGCGTATTGCTCATCTCATATAAAATCATTATATATTATTTTAAAGAGATGCAGTGCTCATGCATGCACATGGCCACTCAGTAGTCATTGGGTTACACCGGAATCTCACTGATGTTTTGTGACACAGGTATTAAAATTGCAAATGGGAGGGAGTTGCAGAGGAAAGTTGGACTTCAGAGGAATGCAACTTAAGAAATGTTATGATCAATTGCAGGATAGGTTTGGAGTAGTGCCTGCATAGCTTGCATCTGTGAAAGCCAGAAATATAAAAACTACAATTAGACACTGAGTTGTGTTCTCCTGTCAGAATTTCACTATAATGGAGAACTGTCATGAAGATGTCATGACGCCAATGCATGCCTGAGCCAGAATAACATCCGACCTAACCCAACTTTCTCAAACCCCACAATAAAGATACTGCTACCATATTAAGAAGAAGGGCGTGGCCACAGCTTTATTTAAATCAAACATGATAATTAAACTTTAAATCCTTATATGCTGGCTATAAGATTGGTATAGCTTCCGCTATTGTTAATCCAGGTACTGGCCATGGCAAATTCTACATCTGTAACTATAACTGAAAAACAAAACACAAGAAAACAACAGGAAAGAGCAAAGGGAGCAAAGTGCCAAAAGGAGTTATGAAAGGTAACAAGACAAAGGGAGGGGATGGGGGGTCGGGAGGCAGGCAGGAGGTTGAGAAGAGTTGTTTGCAGTGTGCTGTCCAGGATCAAGAGGTAGTAGGAAAGTAAGAGGCAACAATTTTTAAATTTTACCTCAAAATTGTATCCATCTTTCCTCTAATCGATAACTGCCATGTAAAACTGTCACAGGCAGGCATGCCTGTCAATGCCCATCTTACCTAAAGGGTGCACTGGGCCTTCTTTAAGACAAAAACCTGAGTGTATTTTAGAAATGTAGAATGAGTAAGATTAGTTAGAGGTTGAACAATTTTCAAACAAATTTAATACATTTTCTATAAAAATTAGAGAAACCAATGGAACTTTGAACTTCCTTCACATTAGCTGGAACCGGCCACTGTAGTATACAATTAATCTTGGAATCATCCACTTTTATTTTTTGAACAAAAAGGATATTTCTGTTAATTCAAATAAACATTTTTCAGGTTATAATATAGGTTATGGGTTCTTAATCTTGAAAGAACCCATCTTACATGTTTTCGATGAGATGAGAGTTTCAGAATAAATAAGGATTTCAAGATAAATGATATATCAAGGAGGTCATGAAAAATGTCAATTGCAAAATGTTGCAGGGTAGCTGGGGCATTACAGAGCCTGAATGTCATAACAAGATATTAGAATAATCCATATCGGTTTCTAAAAGCTGTTTTCCAATTATCGCCTCTTTCCATATTAGATTGTATGTACCTTTTAAATTGAGCTTGGCATAGATAATTGCCGTGCAAAGTATTTCAATTAATTCAGGCATTAAAGGTCGAGGGTATCTATTTTTTATGGTTATTTTATTCAATTCTCTGTAATCAATGATAGGACAAATATTTTTATCCTTATTCCCCACAAAAATTCAGATTCAGAAAGTGGATATATATGTGTCCAAAATAAATAAAGGCACCAGGAAGAAGATCAACTGGACAGTCGTAGACTGTGGAGGTAAACTTTTAGCCTCCGTTTTGCTGAACAGATCTTTGAAGTCTTCATAATGATTGGGGCTATTATTTTCTTCATTGAGTTGAAGAATATTAGATTTAAAGGGACACCATAGTCACCAAAACAACTACACCTTAATGTAGTTGTTCTGGTGAGTATAATAGCTCCCTTCAGGCATTTTCATGTAAACACTGCCTTTTCAGAGAAAAGGCAGTGCTTACATAGCCCCTAGGGAAACCTCCAAGTGGCCATGCCTCAGATGGACACTGGAGGGGCTTCCTAGCTCAGTGATTCACAGTAAGCAACCCTGCCATTCAGCATCACCAAGCTCTGCATGGAGACGCTGAATTTTCCTCGTAGAGATGCATTGATTAAATGCATCTCTACGAGGAGGTCCTGATTGGCCAAAACAGCATTTGGCCCCGCCCCCTAGGGGAAAGCATTGGATTGGCAAAAAATCTGCCATTTTGATAATGTCACAAAGGTGGCAGAGCAAGCGCCGGCAGTTATGTGTCTGAAGCCAACTCATCCCTAATATAACAGGAAACATCGGAGACCTAATCACATCAAAAACCATGAACTCGGTATGTGTTTAATTTATGGTAATTCTTGAAGGAATAGTTTCCTTTTTTATAGGACCTGGTAGACTTAAGGAGCCATCAATCACTTTGACAAAATTAAAAGTACCTTTTTTAATGCATGGGATTTTATTTTATTTTTCAAGTGAAGAGTCCACAAATACTCCTGCGGCACCTGAGTCAATTATGGCTTTGGTTACAATCCTTTTTTTGATCCCACTGTATAATGAGAGAGACAAGAAAATAAAGTGATGTAATAGGAGAGATATTTAAGATGGTACTTCAGTCTATTTTTGTTCCAATTTTAGAATGTTTCAGTAAGTAACAGGATTCCAGTAGACATTCAGCAGATGTGCAATGCATGCACAATTTAAGATTCCTTCTTCTTAACTTCTCTTCTGGAGTCAAAGGGTTTCTCATCATGCCAATCTCCATGGAATCATTTGTAGTAATGAATTTTTTCAGGATGTTTAGGTGGAATTTAAGATCTTCTCCAATTAGTATTCAAAGAAGTTCTCTCAGCTCCTCTTTCTCGAATTCTGCTATCAATATTAATTGATAAATGCATTAAAGCGTCCAAAGTTATAGGGAGTTCTGTGCGTGATAGCTCATATTTAACTGAATCAGAGAGACCCAATCTGAATTGGTTATGCAAGGTGATGTCATTCCATTATCTCTGGCCCATCTATTAAACTCAGCGATAAAGTCTTCAAACAGTCTTTTCCCTTGGAACATGCTTCTTATGACAGTATCAGCTGTAGTTTGTCAGTTAGGGTCTTCATACAGCTGAAACATCCCCTTAAAATGTATAGAGAGAATCAAGTATAGTGTCATTATTTTCTAAGACATAGGTTCACCTCTTAGGAAGGATATGCCTGTCCACTCTTTTATTCTCTCGTTAGGATGGAATCTGGGTTTAAGTGCAAACATCAACTTGCAGGCATTATGCAAGTCACTATATTTGGAACCTTCTCAATAGAATTTGTCAAGATCACAAGCAGCAAGTTCAAATATAGGTTGATGAGAGGCTCCTGTGAAAGGAGTAGGGAATTATTGATTTTGAATATCTATGATATATGTGAGAATCCACTCATTTGAAATTTGTAGATCCTGCATGCCTTGAGATAACATTTTCACTCTTTTGTTTTGTGATGTGATTTGAGAGGTTACTTCTGCTTGTCCCATATATATATATATATATATATATATATATATATATATATATATATATAAGGTTCACTCAATCTGTTAGGCTTTTATGTAGAAAATAAAAAACTGGAGCACAACTGCAGGTTCAACTCTTTGGAGGAAATTTAAACAGGAACAATAAAATGTAAAAAATTAGTATCTATATCTTTAAGATTTATTCTTAAGATGTATCTTCACTTTAAATAAATTTGATATGTATAATGCCACTTAAATTACTTGAGAGGCTGTGCAGCAAATGTAACAATTTTAAATAGATAGATAGACATTTTAGACAGGTTGAAAAGATGATGAGGAATTTGAAACAATTTGAATATCTGAAGAGTCACTTTAACCCCTTAAGGACTGGACTGTTTTTGCGATGTTGTACATTTGCGACCAGGAATATTTTTACACTTTTGTGGTGTTTGTGTTTGGCTGTAATTTTCCGCTTTCTCATTTACTGTTCCCATACAAATTATATATTGTTTTTTTCAGGACAAAAGGGGCATTCTTTACATACCGTTATTTATATAATCTCATGTATTTTAATTTTAAAAAAATAAAAAAATCTGATGAAAAATTGAAAAAAAATACATGTTTTTTGACTTTTACTTGAAAAATCTTTTACTCATCTACAAAAGCGAATGAAAAAAACTGCTAAATACATTCAAAATTTTGTCCTGAGTTTAAAAATACCTAATGTTTACGTGCTTTTTTGCTTTTTTTTGCATGTTATAGGGCTATAGGTACAAGTAGGATATTGCGGTTTCAAAACATACATTTTTAAAATTTATCAATAGTGACATTGTAACACTATTATTTGTCATAAATTTCTGAATAACACCCCACATGTACATATTTTTTTTAAAGTAGACAACCCAGGGTATTCAATATGGGGTATGTCCAGTCTTTTTTAGTAGCCACTTAGTCGAAAACACTGGCCAAAGTAAGCATTCATATTTGTTTGTGTGTGAAAAAAGTAAAAACTAAATTGAACGCTAATTTTGGCCAGTGTTTGTGACTAAGTGGCTACTAAAAAAGACTGGACATACCCCATTTGCAATACCTTGGGTTGTCTTCTTTTGCAAATGGTATGCCATCATGGGGGTAATTCTCATTCCTGGGCTACCATACGCTCTCAAAGGCAACGCAACCAACCTGGCCATTTTCAATGTAAAAATATTTGACCCATATATTTGACCTTGTAACTTTCAAAAATGCTATAAAACCTGTACATGGGGGGTACTGTTTTACTCGGGAGACATCGCCGAACACAAATATTAGTGTTTAAAAACTGGAAAACGTATCACAACAATTATATCATCAGTAAAACTGCTGTTTGTGTGTGAAAAATGCAAAAAAAGTAACTTTCACTGACAATATCATCGTTGTGATATGTTTTACTGTTGTGAATCACTAATATTTGTGTTCAGCGAAGTCTCCCGAGTAAAACAGTACCCCCCATGTACAGGTTTTAGGGTGTCGTAGAACGTTACAGGGTAAAATACAGTGCTAGCAAATTCAATTCTCTGGAATTTCGGCCTGGGTTGGCAGGCAGGTCCCTTAAATTGCAATCAATAAAATGACTGAATTATGTAAAACTATTACATAAATACGCACGTAGAATTTAAATATATATGCATATTTATATATCTGAAGTCTACGTGTATATTTATATAATTATTTATGTAATTTTGTATATGGACTTATGTATATTTCTTATTATTTTTATTTATTTTTATATACATAGATATATATATACAAATTCATTCTAAGTGTATTTTGATATAAATATATATATATTAATTTTAAAATACAGTTAGAATAAAATTTCATATAGATATATAATTTTTTTTTAAATTTTTATTATTATTTAAAAAAAAATTATTTAATTTAAATTACTTATTATTTATATTTTATAATAATATATATATACAATATATATAGTTATTATATATATTATATATATACGTGTGTAATTTAATTATAAGTGTATTTTTATATTAATATAAGTACATATTAATATAAAAATACACTTAGTATGACATTATATATATGATATAGACATATATTATATAGATATAATATATGTCTATATATCATATATACACATATATAATTATTTTTATTTTTTTAATTAACACTAACTTTATTTTTATTTTCTGATTTTACACAAGCAGGGAGACTGCCTGTCAGCACAGACAGTCCCCCTGCAGGCAGACACATGGACACCTATTGTGACCATGTGATCGCTGTGTTAAGCAATCACATGGCCACAGGGGTCCTAATCTGCCGTGGGGAGACTGTCTGGGCTGCAGGCAGTCTCCCCACAACCGGAGGAACACTGATCGCCGCCGGGGGAACGACGGCGATCAGGTAAATACCCCCAGACCGTTAGGACGGTTCAGGACCGTCATCGGTCGGCAAGGCAAAAATGCCGATGACGGTCCTGAACCGTCCTCGGTCCTTAAGGGGTTAAATTCTTTTAAGCAGTTATACTTTAATTTGGTAGATTTTCAGTATGTTAACAGACTCCAGTAACTTTAGAATGCTTGGAAAGGAATATAGTCTCTTTAATGGAAATGGAATATCACTTTAAATCAATTCATGATATGTAGACACAATGTAGCCTCTTTAAATAGAAATACAGTCCTTTTAAACAAGAGTTGAATGTATCCAGGCAACTTAAGTTAATAAATTCTCAGAAATCTTTGTATTAATGGGAAATCTGTATCCAGAAGAAAAACCCATAAACATGCACTTAGTTCTTTGTGCAAGTTCTTAGTTAATTCATGATTTGGATAAATGACAGCTTTAAGTTTACCTTAGAGAAAGATTTTATAGGATTTATAAGCATCCAAAGTGTTCTGGAGTCCAAGGTCAGGATTGGAGAAAATGGCAGAAACTAGGTCACAAGCACAGGTTCGGTACACAGGCAAAATTGGTAAGCATTGATCTCAAATGGCACTATTGAATTGCTGGAAACAAATTGAGTGATCGATTCAATAGAATGGTGATTCGGCATAAATAGGCAGGCGTCTGTCATCAGGCACGGAGGCTAGGTGTTCAGCGAAACCTGGAAGTGGAAGGGGATTGCCAATCATGGTATTATTTATATTATTTTATTATTTATATAGTGCCATCAAAATTCCATAGCGCTGTACAATGGATGGACTAACAGATACGTAATTGTGACCAGACAAATGGATGCACAGGAACAGAGGGGTTCAGGACCCTGCTCAAGGGAGTGGGGTATAGTTACACAAAGCGAATAAGTATGGGTAATAAAATAGGTTGCTAGAAAAGTATTCACTGGGAACTTAGGTTATTTTTGACAGTTGCAGGAGAGGAGTCATTGGGGGTGTGGGGAGGGAAGAAGGATCTGCTAACAATTTAAATGATGTGTTTTCCTGATGAAGTGTGTTTTCCAATTTTTTTTTAAGGAGTGGAGACAGGGTAAGAGTCTAATGGAGAAAGGAAGGGAGTTCCACAGAAAAGGTGCAGCCCTGGAGAAGTCTTGGAGGTGAGCAGATGTGGGAGTAACAACAGAAGATAGACGTAGGTCTTCGGCAGAGTGCAGAGGGGCCTTGACGGGACATACTTGTGTATTAGGGAGGATAGGTTGGCTGGAGCAGCATTATGTAGGGACTTGTAAGCAAGCACCATAATCTTAAATTGAACCCTATATCTAACTGGAAGCCAATGTAGGGATTGACAGAGGGGGGAGGCATTGGAGGTGCGGGCAAACAGGAAAATGAGCCTTGATGCCGCGTTCATAGTAGATTGCAGAGGTGCAATCTGGGAACACGTAAGACCACTGAGAAGGGAATTGCAGTAGTCAAGATGAGAAAGAACAACGGCATGGGTCTTAGCCGTGTCTGGTGTTAAATAGGGGCTATGTTTTTGAGATGGAAGCAGCAGGATTTGGCAATCGACTGGACATGAGGGGTGAAGGAGAGGTCGGAGTCAAAAAGAACACCTAGGCAGTGAGCCTGCGAGGTAGAGGTGATGGTGGTGCCATTGACTTGGAGGGAGACAAAACACGGGAGCAACACTTGAGGGAGGAAAGACCAGAAGTTCTGTTTTGGACAGGTTGAGTTTAAGGAAGTGAGCAGTCATCCAATTGGAAATCGTGGAGAGGCAGTCAGAGACACGAGTCAAGATGGGTGGAGAGAGATCAGGAGAGGACAGGTAGATTTGCGTGACATCTGCATATAAATGATAATGGAAGCCAAAGGGGCTGATGAGTTTACCAAGGGAGGCAGTATAGATGGAGAACAGTAGGGGACCAAGGACTGAACATGTGATGATAAGATGAGTGATGCTAATACTAATTTAGAATTTATATAGCCATTTTTATTATGGAATATGGCTTGTGGGAATTTTTGAAAGTGTGGGATGCACGTGTAATATAAGTAAGTGTCATGGTCAAGTTTAACCAAAAACACAAACCTGAGACAGATGAAAAAAGAAAGAGGACAGGGCATATTACTGGTCTTTAAAATGGCTGGTCTGGTCTGAATACAGGATTGTAAAGGTAACTAAATAATACCTGCAATAATACCTGCAAACTGGTAACTCAATCAAAAACAAGCTTGAGCCAGGGCTCCAGATAGCAACAATAGAAGAGACAGAGCCAAGGTGTGGAGTACAGAAATCAGAATAGTTAACACGGCAGTGGTCAATAACAAAAATGAGCAGGGAAATCTATAAATGCACTCTCGAGCATCCAGAGAGAAGTTGAATGTAGTAAGGAGCTCCCTATTGTCTGAAATCAAATGCCTGCTCCAGAACATTCTTGGTTACCATGGCCTGGATTGACACCATGGAAATGGGTGCCTAAAAATGACGTACAGCTCAGGTGTCATTTTAATACTTGTCATTGAAGCATTTAATGTAAAAAATGATGCAGGAATGTATTTGGTTAGTGGAATCACTTTTGGTGCTGGATATATTGACACAGGAGTAACTTTGGAGCGGTGGACTGGACCCGCTTTAATCCAGTCAAAATTCAAAAATACCTGCTGAATCCAGTTGATAATTTTTCAACTGGGATTTGTTGATAAAATGGAACCGAAGCCTTACTGGAGCTTGCAAAAAAACAGAAACAATGTTTGTGTAGGTGCTTCAGGGGTAACGGCAATAGCAGAGAATGGGTGTAAGAAAGGTGTACTCCCCTATCACCTTTGAAATAAAGATTAAAACAAAAGTAGCAAAATATACACCCAAAGTGTACACATAGAGTATACTTAAATGTATTGAAACAGCATAGGTTCAATATATCTGTGGAAATACAAATAATTATAAACATAGTGCTTTCTGTATAGAGCTGGAAATAAATAATGCAAGGTGAGAGGAATTAAACTCACAAAGCAAGAGCCATACCAAGCTCTGTGGAATCAGCATGTAAGGTGCCTAGACAAGCTAAAATGATATAGTGCCTCCAGTACTTACTGGAGCTTGCAAGAGTGTTATGGCTCTTTTCCCTAATGGTGCACTGGACTACCTCTAGATTATATTTACAGCTAAAATAAGAGGAAATAAAAACAAGGAATACATTTATGACATTTTATAGAATTTGATTTTGACCTGTAATGCACTATCTCTAAATGTGTTCTCTCCAATCATATAACAGCACACACTCAGCATGGTATAAACACATCAGCGTGTCATTAGTTTAATAAAGCAAAGAAAACAAATGTTTCTAAACCCATTACAGCAATAAAGCAGAAAAAGCTCAGAACATTATCACATTTCCCCATAATCTTAAGTGTTATTAGCCAAGCACTAAAAAAATAAAATCGGCCATTGGAGTGAGTATTTATTTTGAACAATATATTTATTAGCATTTTTATATAGTTACCATACAGAAGATAATTTCCAGATCACAGTAAAAGTGAGGAGACAATATTCTAAAAATACGTGAATTACCTTTAGCACTCACATGGTTACATTTCATAAAAATTATAGTGATGGTCTTTTGGGAAATTCTATAAGACGTTTATGAATATGATAATTTCAGCATGCTGATCTTGGCAATGCAAATCAGTTAGCTATTGAAAGTCATTTTCTAGATATAAATGAACACCATTTTAATTTAGATAATAATTGTACTAAAGTGAATGTTTAACTTTCTGAACAAGGTTTTTGCCATTTTTTCACTTCCTTCTTTTCAATTAATATTTTTTATGTTTCTAAAAATGTGAAAATTTTGTATAGCAATACATTTACATTATAAGGGAAATTATTTAAAAAGAAGAGCACACTATTGTAACATTGTAGAATTCTGCTTATATTCTGTATTTGATATCTGTTCTAATGTTTAATTTATAGTTGGCATTAGAGAGCAGATTTCTGTCACAAATATATATGACAGTTTTTGGTATGAGACAAATGGTCAGT